TTACTAAATTAAATAATTAGTTTAAAAGAAATTAAAGTTATTTACATGTATTTTTCTATGTTATTTTTATACACATTTTAGGTGGTGGTGTAGTAGATGGCATAGCTATTATTTAGTAAAGTATGTGGGACTTGTTTCTAGATGTATTTCTTCTACTGGCTGTGATACTTGTAGTTTTTTTTTCTATTCTCATGTTAACAAATAATTTTGTTTACAATTTTAGGATTTGTGCATGAGTTGAATAATATGTTTATTTTTATGTATATTCAAACATATTTGGTAATTTTACTGAATTTTGTAATGGTTGCATTTCAAACAGTTTGTATACAATCAACTTATTTTGTAAGGTACATTTTTATTAATAAATAGTGTTGTTACATATTTTAGTCAGTATTAATTTTTGTACACAACCAAGTTTGAAAACACATCTTTAATTTCTCTTCACTTTCTTTTTATTAATACTTTTTTATGTCAAACTATCAAGGGAGTTTTCAAAACTATCATTTAAAGAAAAACAATTAAGTTATTTTAAATTTTCCTATTGTTAAAAACCTAACCACATTAAATTTAATGTTTAAAAAAGTTACCTGGAAACATATGGTTATCATTACTATTATTATCCTTCAATTATTCTCTCTATATATATGCTCGTATAGTGGTTATAAACTAAGGAAACATTTGCTAGTGTTATTTTAGCTAAATGTAAGATGTACTTATTAAATTGGTACACAAAAGGAAAAAGAAATGTTCATAACAATTTTCTGTATCAAGAAAAGAAAGGCAATTGAGCACATTATCAATATTTAAATTGTACACTTGAAAAAAAATTCTTCTTGAAGCAGTAAAGAAATACATTAAAGTAGAAACTTTCTCATTTTTTCTCTAGCTTTGTGGATAATATTTAGTTTAATGAAAATTAATAAGTTAACTTCAAAATTTGTTTACTTTCACCTTACTTCTATTTATTGATGGTGATAGAGATTATTAATGTAATGTATTACTGTAGAATACTCAAAGTTATTTAATTTTACAACTGTGAACTAATATTCTGAAAACAAGAGGTAATCCTCAATAGTCACACTTTTTTTTTTCCTTTTATTAGCCACATTTTTGTTTGCCAGCAATACCAAGCATATAATGCCCTTTAGACCTTATCAAGGTATGCGAGACAATCATAATCGAAGAACTTGGTGTAAACAACCAATAATGTTAAAATCAAGTGATACAGTTAGCTCAAGCTGGTTTCGAGAAAGTTTTTATTTAATTTTTTTTCATTTTAGTTACTTTTGTTAAAAATTTGCAGCAATAAATAAAAACAACAACAAATTTTGGACTTATATTAGAGTTGAAGTCTGTTTCAGTAATTTGTACTCAAGAATGTACTTCCTTAGCATAAAATCATAAACGTTTCATTTAACTATGCATTTTAGAACCAAAAACATATCAAACACTACAATAGAATGTCCCAAAAACTACTATAGCTTATCTGGCTTTTAAACTAAACTATAAATAGGTTAAAAAATTATAATAGGTTCTTGGAGCAGAAAAACACAATTGTAAACAATGAAACTGAGGCCAAGTAAGTAAGTACTTATGGGTGTCAAAGCGAAATAACTGTATAAAAAATCTAAATAAAAAGCTACGCTTTCTATTGGTTATGAATAATCCAATAGTAATGTCAGAGAGAATTATTGAATTTTTTTTAAAGAAAGGATGAGATGGGAGGGATATGTCATATGAATTTGACATTCTGATTTTATATTCTTGCATGTAACTATCTGTAGTATGTGTTTCTAATTAGTTGGACACTCAGAAAATCATATGAGAGTTGAAAGAAAACCTAAGATAGGTAGTTCTGAACACAGATGCATTACGTGACTCCCAGAAGTGAAAAATGAGAATTTATTCAAACATTTCCCTTTGAAATTAAGAAATACAAAAATTTGAATTATATGCCACGTTTTGATACCAAGCTTACTGACATACATTGATAATAAAGTTGTTTAATTACATTTTTGAATGTATCTGTAAAAGGCTGTGACGTGTACACTTTGACCCAGCAGTGCATATAGAGTGTTAACTGTGGCTCTCAAGGTCACTGATTCTTTAACAGCAGGATAGACAGATGCTAATTACATTAAACCAAAGCTAATTCAATGGCTGCTGAATCTCCAGCTAGTTTAAATTAGTGAAGTATAAGTTGGGTCAGGCCATATACAGCTCAAAATAGGTGCAGCAGTGAGCTTGCACCCTGAGGTATGATCCCATTTTTGGATAAACATGAACTTGGCATCACATGGTATATGTGCTGGGAATGATACAAGGACATAAAGTTGGTTTGAAAACAGACCTGAAGTAGCAAACCACTTTGACCATTGAACAAAAACTTTGTTTTGACAAGCTAACTGTAAATGGAGGGGTGTATTTCTGACTGCATCTTTGCACTGCAGCCAAACAACAGAAACTATTATCATAGCTCATGCATTAGTAATGTTACGACAGCCGATGTCACGTGACGCTGGGAGCATGCGCGCTGGAGTTTCTCGAAGGATCGTGAATTTTCCTCGCAACTCTAGTTTGTTCGAGGCACCCTCTTTTTTAGTATACATAAGCCTGGCGAGAAAAACCAGCACGATTGAAGATAGGCAGATATAGATAATTGAGTCAAGTGAACAGTAGACATCTTAAATAAAGTGTGTGAATTATAGCGTGTGTTTATAAAGGTTGTTAAGTTTAAAGTGACTGTGGAAATTCTGTGTATTACTAAAA